GACTGATGGTTTCTCACTCGAAGGTTTGCATGGTGAGTGATGTCACTAAACGGTCTCCTCGGAGTGTGTCCTTTCCATCCCCATTTTCTTCGGAATGTTTTTCGAGCGATAAGTACTTGGTTGGTTCGTTCTCAGATTTATTTAGTACCAATTCTTTCTCGCCATTTGATCTGCAGTATGGAGTGAAGACAGCTGTTAACAAAAGTCTGTAGTGGTCTGTTGGAAATGATTTTCGTGACGCTTTGAGTCAAGTTTCTGACCCATATAAAAGCACTGACTGACTTTGGTAAAGACAGAAGACAAGGGCCAGGCAACAGATCGTTTATTGAGAAAATCAACAGAAATATTTATAGATTTTTATGTACATTATTATTCATTATTGTTAGCAGAGAAGCAGCCTCTTCTGATTGGTTGTTTTCTTGCTACAGGTTATTCTATCATCTCTTTGTGGCTGTTTCTTAGAAAGTCAGGCCATATATCTGTGAATCGTATTTGCACACGTTAAGTCTGCTGTGATTGGTTGTTGAATTCCTCAAGGTTAAGCTTTTTTACTGTTTTTTCCCATGACGCCGATTTGGGACGTGAACATTGACATAAATTGTTGTCTACAATTTTAGCTAACAGACAGCTCTCACCACAATTTGACATCGGTGGTAAAAATCTGAATTTCTTCTTTATACTGAGTTCGGAAGATTTCCACACTGACTTTAGAGTGATGAAGATATGTATCTTGCCTTTCCGATCTTGATTTTGACGTCCTCCTCCTGACTGCGTGTAGTTGCAACGATGCTTCCTAGATAAGTGAAGAAAGTGACCTCTTTCAAGTTTCTTCCGGTAATCATGATGGTACACAGTCTTGTCTCTCTTCTATCTTAATTTCACAGGATCGCATGACATATGGCATTGTAATATAGCTGTTAAATCAGGTCGATAGAGCTATAAGGTGTATGATATTGGGAGACATAAACCAATCAAAACTTTCACGGCAGCATGGTACACTTTTATACATCCATATCAACCAGTAGTGCTTGTTAACCAACCAGATCGAAGTGATCCATACACACAGGACTTCCTTTTCTCTCGCTTGGCGCCGAGCCCATCAGAGGTGTAGTTGGTTTGAGTAACGGTAGCGCCACATCACAAATTGTCGAGGCTAGAAGTAACATTAGATGGTTGGAGACAATTGGCAGAAAGCCATGGAACTAGATTTCATTCGTCAGCAAGGTGCTTCTGTAATCTTGAAGGAACTGACATCCCTTCTGAGCTTCAGACCCTAGTCATCGACTGTTACAGTCAAAGACGCTACCATTGAGTTATTCAATCTAAACCAACAATAGGGACTAAACGCATTATATTGGTTAATAATAACAACAATAAGACTAAGATTACTGTTGGGAATATGATTAGCGGTTGTAACAACGCGAAAAATATAACTGATGCTGAAGTGGTAACAATCAATACCAGAAAGCCAGCTCTTTGTTTACAGAAGAAGTATATTAAACCGCTATGTTTACCTTGACCTACAATAAGGCCAACAAATCCCCCATAAACATTAGCACTTTAAATTCTTATCACAATTTTGCTTTTCATTGAATCTTCGATTTCATTGTTTCATTGACAAACGTTCATTTCTGACCTTTTACGACTTCATGACCTGGTTTCTGTTACCTTAGATTTAGGTAGTGCTTTTACAACTTGTGATCATATTAACGAAATCCTGTTCATTTTACTTCACTAAATTTATTATTATTATTATTATTTGATGATCATTCACCAATAGTACTTTTAAGTTTACACCACATTATCGTTATTCTCTTCACAATCATTATTATTATTGTCGTTATTTTCACCCTTGAACTTATGTCTAGTCCACCCTATTCGTTGGTTTATTTTCTGTAGTTTTCAAATTGTCATAAAGAGCGTCATAAAGAGCACCTCAAACCAACTACAGACCTTCATCAACAGCTGTCTTCGCTCAATACTCAAGATCAGATGGCTAGAAAAGATCAGCAGTAGGGACCTGTAGGAACAAACCGACCAGGAACCAATTGTATTATAAATAGGCAGGAAGTAATGCAGCTGGTGGATTGGCCATAATCTAAGGAAGCCATCAAGTGACATCACTAGACAAGCCATTGCTCGAGTGGAACCCGAAAGGGAAGCGGCGAGTTGGTTGTCAGTGCGACGGTGACTTGGAGGAGGTCATGTGAAGAGGAGATGAAAGCGTGTGGGCAGACTTGGAGCCAGGTGACGACTCTAACAGAGAACCGAACGCAATGGAGACGCACGGGGGAAGCCCTATTTTCCTCTAGGAATTAAAGGAAATAATAATAATAATAATCATATTGTCTCACTCACCACTGATAACACTCACCCTCTAAACCTGTACTTTTGTTGACTATGTATTTATATATATACATCATTAAATTATTTCATTTCATGTTCTTATTGACAATGAATATTCAAAACTAACTGATTATTGCTCTATTCCATCGTATACTTGTTCCACAATACAGTTCTGACATGATTGTCTTTACTGGCTATTGTATGCTTAAATTAATGAATTTATAATTGTAGATGCATCTCACTGGTCATGCCTTCTCACTAGAACTCCAGGAATTGATATCAGTTAGAGAACTGTTGAAAACCAGAACTGGAGTACTGGACAGCTCTGTTTCATCCTAGTTCGCGACCCATCAGCAGCACACACCCACTGGATTTCGGACCCAGTACATTCCGGTTACAAGGCAAGCTGGCTCATATACCATTTAGCCACTGGGACCCGATACCTCAATGGCCACCCCATGAGTTCTAACTTCTACCAATTCGTGATACATTTAGCGCGACCACCAATTGTAGAGCCTGAAGAAGAATTTATTGAAACCACAATTGTCCACTCTAACTATTCTGTTCTGAATAAATTATGGAAGCATTCAAATTACAACAATATTAGCTTTATTTTTGATAGTGTTTATATAATATAAGGATTTCTCAGAGGCATTTATTGCATAATGTTTTTTCTTTTCGTCCAGGAACTTCAAGTAAATTAGTAATTGACAGTAGAGCGTGTGATACAATGCGCTGTCGGACCTGAAGGGCGAACAACACTCACGTATGCGCTATTTCTTCTTTGCCTCCTTAGAGACACCTGGTTGAAAACCAATTATGAAAAGTGCAGAAATAAATAAATTTCCATATCCAAGAAAATAAATGAATGATTATTGACTTCAGGCAGTAAGCTTTATCTATCAGGCAGTGGTAGCTTGTACTAAAAATCTCAAGGACAGTTATGTCATGTATTGGGAAACGCCGCCACATACACTGATACCTTTTTCTTAAGTTTAGTAAATATCGGTAAGATTTTGAATACTTGCGACAGTAAACAATACCATTGGCGGTCATATTTTAATTGGTTAAAACAAAATGAACAAGAGAAATTATATTCGATATAAAATGATGGAGTATTTTAGTAGCAAGATACGCCTTCATCAGCCGGAAACCAGTTTGCAAATCTTCTGCACTCCACCTCAACATAAAGAACAAGACTCGGAGTTTCAAAACAAATGTGAAGTCAGTCATTTCTTCTATAGAGGTCAGAACTTTGGCCAGGGTATCAAGAAAAGGATTTCCAAGAATTTAAAGACTTTGATTGGACACTAGTAACTATGTGATGTGTCTAGTCCTTTCTTTGGTGCAAACTGAATTCTATCAGTCAGTCAGGTTTGCAATGTGACCACCATTCAAAGTAGTTCGCCATCACAGTGCAAATTGATTTGATGATATTAGACAGAATTCAGTCTTCACCAAAGAAAGGACTAGACACATTACACTAGTTACTAGTTTCCAGTCAAAGTATCCAACACAGCTCTACAGGAGGTCAATCACGGGACTGAATAGCGCAGTGGTAACGTCGCTTACTGACTGCAGCACCGTGTGACGTGGGTTCGAATCTCAGAAGGGACACGAGTGGTTCCTTCAAGATTGCAGATACGCCTTGCTGATGACTACCAGATAGCACGAGACCTAGTTCAGGTAGGGCTTCCTGTGTCTGATTGCCTTCAACCATCTAGTATCAATAAAGTTATAGACTTTTATCAACAACTGTCACCTTCTGTGGCTCCCGAATGAAGATCAAGTAATTAGCGAGAAGAAACTCTAGTGAGGAACAAACCAACGAAGAGCCGATTGCTCAATAAATATGTAGGAGAAAATGGAGATGGATTGATCGAGTAAACTCGGAGTAGGCCGTCGAATGACATCGCGTTCAATGCAGGCCAACACTCGAGTGGAATTCCAATGGGTCGTCCTATGATGTGAGGGTGACATGAAGGAGATTGTGTGTTGGGGAAGAGGAGATAAGAGATTAATGGCCCTGTTGAACAGGACGGCAGAGAATAGAATAAAGTTGAGATGTGTTGTTGAAGCCGTATGTTCCACTCGGAACCCAAGGAAATAATAATATATTATGTTATCAGTAGGCCGACGTGAGAATATTACTACCACTAAAAAGTTGTGTGAGTGACTTGATATGATTATGAGCGGCAATAGTTTGTGCTCGAAACGTCATCAGTTAATATTACTTTTTTAACATTGTGATTTATCAAAATAAAATCTTATCTATAATGGAATCATACCTACTAACGAATCATAATAAAGTTAGAACTCATTGATAAGTGAATTCCTTGCTCAAGTGATTGAATGTTCAACGACCTGGCCATATAACCTGAAGGTCCTGAGTTCGATCCACAGCGTGGTCATCGCTGCGTGTTGATGAAGAGTCCCAAACTCAAAACGAAACATACACACCTTCAACCGGTGTTATTATTTCATGACTAGATTTGTTAATTTCTTGTTAGTCGAAATAAAAAAGACCTGTATTCTATTGGTTAAATATAAAAAAATCAATAGCACGTGATTAAATTAAAAGTAAAAATGATCAATACATAATGTCCAGATTATCAGCCCAAGTGACAAGGTCACACAGGGAGGGCATACATATGACTTATTTTAAAGGTTATAATTTCAACCTGTTATAATTAATTCATGATTATATAATATCATCATAATTATCAATGAATTATTTAACTAATTTAAAGTTTTATTTCTAGAAAGAAAAAAGAAACCATAAACACTAAAAAAAAAAAAAAATGGAAGTATTTTCAAGTGATAAAAAACGTAGACATGATTATTTTTTAAAAATTATACAAAAACGTTCAGCAGAAGCTAAAAATATTCATCGAATTGTATTAATTGGTACTGGGGAATCAGGAAAGTCAACATTCTTGAAACAAATGAAACTGTTAAGTTCATTAAATCAAACATTTTCTGATGCATATCGTAATCTGTTTATTCCAGAAATTCAACGTAATCTCGTTCAATCCTTATCAGCTATATTAAATTTTATGGAACAAGAACATATTAAATTTTATCAAAATGATGATAATAAACGTAATGCTAAAAATTTAATATTTACTGTAAAAGATGAAATTGATAGAATACCAGATAATATTAGTCAATTTGCTAACAATGCTAATTTATTAAAACGTAATGAATTCTATGATGCATGTTCCCTACTATGGAATGATAAAGCGGTCAAAGAGACAATTAATAAAAGTAATGAATTCCAATTAATTGATTGTGCACAATATTTTCTTGATAAAATTGATGATATACGTGATCCAGCCTATAAACCAACTGATGATGATGTTTTACACAGTCGAACAAAAACTCTTGGTATTCATACAGAAACAATTACCTATAATAATGTAAATTTTGAATTAATTGATGTCGGTGGACAAAGAGAACAACGCGCTAAATGGATTGAAGCAATGTCTGATGGTGTAACAGCTGTCATCTTTTTAACAGATGTTTCCGCCTATGATATGGTTTTAGCTGAAGATCATAGTGTGAATCGTTTAAGAGAATCAATTCATCTATTAGGCCAAATATGGCGTAAAAGTCCGCTACGTGAAAAATCAATTATATTATTTTTAAATAAACAAGACAAGCTAGAAAAAAAAATCCGTGAACAACGTACACTATTTGAAAATTATTTTCCCGAGTATAATAAAGGTAAAATTATTTATTTAATTGAATTATTACGTGAATTGACAGCGTGTAAAATGAATAAGATGAAAAAAGAATCTGATATATGGGATAAACACTTTGCCTATCTACTACCTGTACCACAATCACGTAATAATATAAAAGATGGACGTCGTTTTAGCATTCAATCGAATGGTGTGATGAAAAAGTTATCCCGTGAAACTATTATTCTAACTGAATACAGTCAAATACAAAGTATTTTTGCTAAAGCATTCAATGAAAATTTAGTACAGAATTGGATTACTGACAATTCCACTGTTGTTGGTGGACGTACTACTATACAAACTAATAGTAATAATAATAATAATAATAAGTATGCGAATGAACAAGATGAAGGTCAACAGGATTCCCAAGAAGCTTTCATTAAACACCTTATGTCTAGAGATGATTTTAATGCTTTTCAAAGACGATTACATTCTATTATATTTTATCAAGTTGTATCTATTGTTGAATTTATTAAAAGATTATTTATTGATCAATGTGAACAAACACCAACTCGGCGTATTTATCCATTTCCAACAACAGCTATTGATAAGCGTAATGTTGATCGAGTATTTGAGTCATGTAAAGATATACTACAGGGTAAAGCATTAACTGAATTAATTGTTTAAAGGAAGCTTCTTCTTCTTCTTCTTTTGGTAAAATCCCTCACTTCTAATTCGTTTATTGATGAATAACCCGGTGTTTTGTTAGCCCGTTTGTTTTAATGTCTAAGTGACAGCATACTATTACTATTATTATTAATATTATTATTCCTCTCTTGGTTTCCGAGTGGAACATAAGGCTTCAAAAACCCACCTCCATGTCGTCCTGTTCCCATCTCTCCTATGCCACCGTGCGATGAATAAATCCTTTTCCCTTTCTCAATCAGGTTCCACTCGAGCGATGCTCTGGAGCGTGATGTCACTGAACCATCTCCTCAGTGGGTGTCCAATCCATCTCCCATTTCTTCTCTCTCTCTCTCTCTATATATATATATATCTATGTTGAGCAAATAGATTCTTGATTGATTCATTTCCAGAGTTTCCTGTGGCTAATTCTTTCTGACCAGTCACCTGAGCTTCACTATGGAGCCAGCCAGCTAAGCTGGCAGCGGTTGATAAAAGTCTGTGTTAGCCTGTTGGAAAGAATTTTACCGACGTGCATGTCAAGTCTATGAACTATATATATATAAAAACACTAAGTGACCTCATAGTAGTGTTGAAAATCCGAATTTTACTCTTTGCATTGATTTAAAAAAGTTTTGATTTTTGTTTGATTGGTTGGTTGGAGGATTTCATCATGAGCGCTGACGTCAATTAGAGACCTATTGGAAAACCACCATTGAAGAGTACTGGGGACAGCCATCTGTTTCATCTCAACCTAGTTTGAGACTCCTCCGCAAGGGTTCGAACCCACGACCTTCTGGTTACAAGAATAGTGAGCTTGTAGACCATTCATTAGCCACTGGGATCATCAGACTGATGCAATGGCCAGCTCATGAATTCCAACTTCTGTCAATTCATGATATAGCGCAACCACTTCGCACAATGTCTTCTTCGATGAGTTACTGCCTTACCTCCAACCTGTTCTACCCTACTGGTTACGGCTTTCCACTAGAACCCCAGGTAACTAACTGTCTGAATAGGGCCAGAATATTTTCAACTGACTTCAGAGTGATGGATGGATGACTGTCTTTACCTTTGTGATTCCGGTTTTGATATCCTAATCCGTACCGTTTTTCCTCCAGTTGAAACAAAAGGCTTCCTAGATAATCGAATGAAGTGATGTCTTTCAAATTTCTTCGTCGACATTGAAAAGGCATTCGATAACACACTGATCGATAAGTAATTTCGAAAATATTTCAACACTGTGAAGTGCAGCTCTTCAGATATTTACCAAGCGCTCATTGAACAGCTACATGACAGTGTCACGTGTCCAAAACGGAAAACTCAGCGAAGATTATGAAGTGAAGGCAGGAGTAAGACAGGGTATCCTACTATCACCCACGATGATATTCTCTAACTGTGGGGGGGGGACTGGATTATACGGAAGACTGCGCTCAGGGAGTGAGAAGACAGGAATACGCTGCACTGACCGATAAGAAAACAAACTCCAAAAGATCTACGTTTCGTGGATGATTTATGTGTTTAATATCACACAAACTCTACGGGCTTACAGGCGAAAACCAATAAACTGACTGGTTGAAGAGACTGGCAGCCGGCGAAGACAGGATAGTGATGAAAATAGCCAACCAGAAGCAACAAGTGACAGCATATAATAAGCATATAAATTGAAACTGCTATATAATTGCCGTAGTTCCACCAGAATGCTGATGTAAGCTGTAAGTTGTTGGTTCACATTGGTGGAATGCTGGTCGACAGAGCACGTGGTTCACGGTCGGTTCGATTCCCGGCCGACACACTCGTCCTAAACTTCATATTAATTTACTAGCTGCTAGCAAGCCTAGAAACGAGAATTTCGCAACAATAATGTTGCAAAATAACACTGAATCAATAGTTAGTGTCGACAGATTACATTTGAGAAGCATCAATAAGAGAGATAGAGAGAGAGAGAGAGATAATATACATTATTATATGGCACTAAACTGACTGAATGTGAGATAAATTAAGCGAAGTGAGAGGCAGAATTTATGAATTTATAGGCTCGGCAGCAGGCCAGGGTCACAAAAGTGGCTTACATTAGACCTGTTAATTTCGCACACAGAACTCTGGATGATTTAAGCGAATAGCAATGGCCTCAGTTATTTGGAGTAATCGATATCTACAGGCCTTTGGTAATTGATTTAATACCGGATAGATGATGATAGATGATAGACTCTTCAATGCTAGCCAGCTTTGTGGCCTATTTGGATGAGGTGACCTACTATAGAAGTGTTGATTGATGGTTTTAACAACACCATTGTTTAATCTGAGTTGTAGGTGTTGCTGAGCCCGGAAAACGAAGTTTCTATAGTAGTAACTGACGACCAACATAACTATCTCCACAGGAGTAGTTGAACTGATAGATACACTTAGAAGTGACTAACCTTGATACTTTGTTTTTCAGTTGGGGAATAACAACCGGTTGTGTGGAAAATATAAGCTGAAGCACACCGACAGCACTAAACGTCCTTTGAATCGATTTTCTCAACTTTTTGTTGGTTATTATTTCACCACTTGGTGTATATCTATCTCCTCTGAACTCTAGTCGTATATAGAGGGAGAGAGGGAGGCTTCTTATTAACAGATACAGAGGAATTCTTTTTACTCTCTCTCTTGGCTATGTGTTTTTGGTGATGATGTTTTCAGGGTAGCTGTTATCAGGTAACGTGTCGTATACAAGATGAAGTTTGCCTTCAATCTCATCTTCTGAACAAATAGCTCTGACCCCCCATAGCTGAGGGTGTTTACCAAATTTCTTTTTTATCCAGGAAAGGAAGAAAGCTGTGAAAATGTGTGTGTGTGTATGCTGACTGGTCGAAGTACTTTGCCCATGCAAATTCGTGGGTTTTATGCTACCGTGTGGTCTTCGTGTCAGCAGGACGTATAAAGAGGCAGTTCTACTTTGGAATTCTTCTTCACACGTGAATTTAATAACTAAATGTACTTAAATGAAAGGAGAGATATTGTTCCCTTCCTTAATTCTAGTCTTCAGTTAGTCGTAGAATAATTCTAAACTTTAAAGCTAAGCTAACTGTCCTAACTAAGGTCATCTGCTTTCTATCTTCCGTGTTAAGTGGTATGTATAATGAGCGATACTGAGGTTAAGCATCGGGCGAGTGTTACGCAAGGAGGGGAAATCAATCGATGACGAGGCTAGGAAGTTATACCGATTGAGATGGTTAGGACATCGCCTTCCTCGACAACGGGCAATGTTAGCTGACATAGGATGGATAAGGTTGGAAAAGAGCCAGAGGTGGTCAAACCAAAAGTTGGCATCAGTCAGTGAAATCTACAACAGGTAGTTTAAGCCAGCTGGTCACGTAGGGAGGTGCAGACTTCCTGGATGGGGTCCTAGAGATGGTAAAAATCCGGGGATTGGAGACACTCGGTGATATGATTCAAAATCGTTCTAGCTGGCTGGTGCAGATAAATTCAATCTTTATGATTTGTCATATCCAATAAAATTCTATTGTTCTTTCATATTACTATTCTTTCCCCCTCGCTCACACTTCTCTTTATTATCTCTCTCTCTCTCTTTTGAATCTTTGTTTACTAACTCTTTTCTCTTTCCTGTGTGTACTGTATGGAGTGTGGCAACTCGAACTCCTGTACATCTGTGCAAAGTTCTGTGTTGAAACCAGTGAGTCCCTGAAGTCATTGTCAAGTGTTTCATAGCCTTGTGAATATCCACTTTTTGTTTAGCTGAAGGCTTACGGTAAAGCATCCACGCCATTTAGTACTCCGTCATGTCATGTCACGTTCATTCGTTCGTTTGCACACGATCCCTGGCTAGCTAAGCAATCATCTCGTACTCAGATTTAGTCCTGAAATATATCTCGTAATTTGGACGATCAATTCTTGTGTTTTGCTTTGCCTTTGGTCTACTCGGAACGAATACTGTAGAAGTTGTGGGTATTAGATCTTGCGTTAGTATATTTCGTACTATCCGTGTATGTCAATATCCTTAGCCTGTAAACATTCAATTCTTCTATTTGTACTTTATAATATTGTATCTCTGAACTGTTAATCTTTTTAAGCTTATAATGTAGTTATTGGTAACTATGTGAATTACAGTAGGAGAAATCTTTTCTGAACACCGCTCATCTTGATCTTTTCGCCGCTAGTGTACTTTTAATTCTGCATCCGCTTTTTTTTTCTCACTGAAATTCACCCTATTGTATTATAAATAATCAATCTGTAACGGAATCAATGATCTAATCTCACATTATTTATACCATTTTCCTAATTTCTCACGGGCTATTTGTCATTTCTCTTGGTGTTTGCATATCATATATACTGACTCGATCATCATCATTATTATTTGTCTTTGTTCCAGTGTAATCTCCAAATTTAATACTTCCCTTTGTAGTTGTGTGATGACGGTTCTGATCACGTATTGTTTTACGACAGCGATTTTGCTTTGAGTGAGAGAATTATTCGGTGTGTGATTCTTGCTGTGACAGAGTTTTGATCCCCTTGACCGGAAATACGACCTAGTAGACTATGGGCGAATACTAACACTTTAATGCGCCGGCTAATCTGTCCTAATCACACGTCAACAACGACAAAAACAACAACACCGTCGAGTCGTAAAAAGACAGAAGAAAAGACTGGACGTTTTAAAGACAGCTTCTACTGCCTCAAACAACAGTCAAAAAAGTTGACAGCGCTTGCATATATATATGTTTAAAGTGACCTTGAGAAGCACTAACGTGGTTGACAAATTAAGACAGTGACCAACCAATAGAATTTCAGTTTTTCATAGGTAGGGTGAGAGAAAATTAGGTCACAGATCAATAGGTGTGAAGAGAGAGGTACAAACGGAAACATGTAGCAAAATAAGGTCTATATATATATCACTTTATACGGTTGATTTTGGTTAACCTAATTCTGTTGCACAGTACTCGTTTTGTAGTCGAGAAAGATTGGGATCTATGTAGGTGCTGCCTAACGGCATTGTTGAAGCAATTTTTTAGTTTTGATATATTTCGATTATTAAAAATAGTACTGCAAAATTAATCACAATTTAACTGTCTTTTTACCATCATTGGGACTTTTTTGTACTATGCGTAACTCAGGAAAGTTCTGTTCACCTATACAGTAGAATGTAAAGCCTAGTTTCCTGTGTTCAAACTATAACACTTGGGTTTTGGTCGTTAGACAATCCTTTTAGCACTTAAGAATGCAGCTACCTACATTATTTGAACTATGGTTTGAATTCATTTCAGTGCAGATGTCATCACCAACTAAAACCAGTTGGATATCATTGGAAAGCTGGGAGCACTAAACAGCTGTTTCGTCAGCCTAGTCTGGGACTCTTCAGAAGTACGCACACATCGA